TGTCCACATGTCCATCCGACCATTTCGACCATTCTGTTTGCCGTGCGCATCGCAACACGCGATCGCTGTTGACGATACGTCCTCAGCACGTAATCGCTGATGACCGAACAAAATTACCGTCTCGTTTCTTGTACGTATCGGGTATAGGCAGCAAAATTGTCTGAGTGAGTGCTGAGTTGTCATTTCGGAATTCTCCGGCTCAGAGCGACACCATGGCCAGCAGCTTTCTCCTTCCGCCCAACAGATTTCCGCTCAGCGACACTGTCATCGGAGGCGCCGTACAGCGTGTCGCCCCACTCCATAACAATAACTTCGTCGGTTATAAACGTCAAGCCACCAATGACATCGTGGAGGAAGAATTCTCTTTGGAACCGAAGAGAGAACGGAAGATGAAGGTCTCCGCTAGTCGACGCGAACGGTGCAGAATCAACCAGGCCAGATACAGACAGAGACAACGCGAGCATGCAAACAAACTGAACGCAAGTATTCAACAGTTGCAAGGCGAGATTGCAGACCTGGAAGCTCAGCGACAACTAATCATTCGTCGCACACCAACGGATGAGAGTGCCTGGATCGTAGCTACCGAGTACTTCCGACTCTTCCGTCACGGATACATGACGCCGAAGTTCGCACCGGAGTCAACGTCGTCGTCTACACCACCACAGAAAATCCGTCAACACGTACAGCTCGACTTTCTCAAGGCGAGTATGGCGTCGGATGTGACGGACGGGGTCATTGGTGGAGCGGAGGGGATCCTCGAGAACTGGAGACTCTTTTCCATTTTCCATGGCGACGTTAACGTTCAGCTCAAGCGACTTCAACAGGTCACAACAGATTCACTACTTGCCACTATGACCATCAGTCTGACAATCACCGGGAACACACTGCATCAGTTGTATCCGCATTTGGTCAGCGAAGACGAAGTATCACCGCTTGGTACGAGATTATTAAACCAGCGTCTTGTAATGCGTGGTTCCGTACGCTTTGATTGGGATGAGGCTAGTAATCGCGTGGTGCGACTCGACTCTAAATTCGACATGCTGACGCCGATGCTGCAGCTTGTGGGTACCTTAGAGAACGTAGCGAGTGTATTTGGTCAAGCACTGATCACCCCAGAGGGTAAATTCCATAGCAGCCTTTAGTTATTAGCATATTCAATTCAGTACATGTAGTATTATCATGCTTTACTTTCTGTTTCTGGAGCCCCGTTCTTTACGATGCTCACTACCTCCATTGGTGATTCCCAGTCGCGCGCGAGAGGCGCTTGAACTGAGACTCATACTACTAGCAGGCCCACTGGCTCTACTACCGGGCGTAGCATCCG